CACCCCCCGCGCCCCCCGCCCCCCCCGGCACCGGGACCCGGCTGGAGCGGGGGGGGCGTGTGGGGGGGTCCCCCGCCCGGGGGGGGTCTCAAGATTGAGGGGTCCCCCTCCTGGAGGGGTCCCACACGGGGGGGGCTCACGTGGGTTCACAGATTTGGGGGGGTCTCACATTTTGAAGGGGTCCCACGCTTGGGGGTCCCACACTGGGGGGGATCTCACTTTTGGGGGGTCTATACTTGGGGTGCCCCCCCGTGTGGGGGGGTCCCACATTTGTCGAGGGCGATATCCTGCGATTGGGGGCTTGTCCCAGATTGGGGGGGATGCCCCACACTGTGGGGGGGGGTCTCACTTGTGGGAAGGTGCCACATCTGGGGTCCCCCATTTGGGGGGTGCCACTTGTGGGGGTGTCCCAACCTTTGCCACCCGTGCCATGTGTGCCACCCGTGCCATGTATGCCACCCTGTGTCACAGCGTGTGCCACCCGTGCCATGCGTGTGCCACCCGTGCCACCCTGTGTCACAGCGTGTGCCACCCGTGCCATGTGTGCCACCCTGTGTCACGCCATGTGCCCTCCCGGTGCCACGTGTGTGCCCCGCTCCCCGTGCCACCGGCAGGGACAGGGACACGCCAGGGCCAGGCCGGGGCCAGGACCACGGACAGGGCCAAGGACGGGACAGGGACAAAGGCAGGGACAGGGCCAGGACCATGGACAGGGCCGGGACCAGCCCGGGACAGGACAGCGACAGGGACAGGGACGAGCCAGGCTCCGATGCTCCAATTCTTTATTCACCCCTGGACACAGCGAGCCCGGGGTTCCCCCAGAGCGGGCGGCCACAGGCCCGTGGGGTCCCCTGGGACACTCTGGGGTCCCCCCGACACCGTGGGGTCCCCTGGGACACTCTGGGGTCCCCCATGACACTGTGGGGTTCCCTGTGACACCGTGGGGTCCCCTGGGACACTCTGGGGTCCCCCCTGACACCGTGGGGTCCCCTGGGACACCGTGGGGTCCCTGCAGTCCTGGGGGTCCCTGCAGTCCTGGGGGTCCCCCCATCCCCACTCGGGGACAGGGGGACACGGCCCTGCAAGCTCCTCAGTGCCAGGGAGGGTTGGGGGTCCCCGCGGGGTTTGGGGGGTCCCCGCACCCCCTCTCTGGAGAGGCCGGGAGGTCCCCGCAGCCTCGTGGTGCCCCGGGGGCTTTTGGGGGGTCCCTGCGCCCCCATTTCGGAGGGCGCTGGGGATCCCCCTCCCCCGTGGCGCCCCGCGGGGATGTGGGGGCTCCCCGCACCCCCAGTTCCGGGGGGTCCCCGGGGTCCCCGCAGCCCCGTGCCGGGTTTTGGGGTGCCCCCCTGCAGCGTCAGCAGCGCCGGTGCCGGGGGGCCGGGGGGGTCCCCGCGGGCTCCGGGCGGGGGGCGCCGGCCCGGGGGGACCCCTCCTCAGGGCAGCCAGCTCTCGGCACTGGGGGGACAAGGGGGGGGTCAACGGGGGGAAGGGAACCCCCAAGCCCCTTCTGGGGGGGTTGGGACCCCCAAACTCCAGATCCTGGCTGGGGGTGCCCCCTCCCCCAGTGCCCCCCGTCCATCAAGGGGGACAAAGGGGGGTAAAGGGGACCCGACTGGGGGGACAAGGGGGGGGTCAACGGGGGGAAGGGAACCCCCAAGCCCCTTCTGGGGGGGTTGGGACCCCCAAACTCCAGATCCTGGCTGGGAGGCTGGGGGTGCCCCTCCCCCAGTGCCCCCCGTCCATCGGGGGGGACAAAGGGGGGTAAAGGGGACCCCCAGTGCCCCCCAGTGCCCCCCAGTACTTACAGGGCAGAACCGTAAAGCTGCAGGGGAGGGGAAGATGGGGGGGTTAGGGGGGGCACAGGAACCCCCCACACCCCACCCCCTTACTGGAGAAACTGGGGGAACCCCAGAGCCGCAACTGGGACAACTGGGGGCCCTACAGGGGGGATCTGAAGTGGTGCCTTCCTCAGCCCCCCAAAACCTCCCCCACCCGCCGGGATCCCCCCATCCCCTGTACCCCTCACAGCCCCCGAAGCCCCCCGGACCCTGCTC